GGGGGGGGGGGGGTCGGGCCGTTCCCCACACACCTCGTGCGCCGCGCGGGAACGGTCAGGCGCGTGCGCTAGACGTCGGGAAACTCGCGCACGACGTGCGCTTGCAAGTATGCTCTCAACTCTACAAGGGTGGCGCAGTAATCAACACGGGCAAGGATGATAATGAGGGAAGGTGGTGCCTCATGGACCTGAGGTGAAAAGAGGAAAACTTCAGACTGATCAATATCTATGCTCCTAACGACAGGGGCGACAGATCTTCATTCATCCACTCCCTAGGTCAGCTGATCCTGCCTCTACAAGCCTGCATAATAGGAGGAGACTGGAATGCCACGCTAGACCCCGCTAATGACCATATTTCCAAAACGGGCTCACCTCAGTCTTCCCAGGAAGCGGCGCCCATCCAGGAATTAATTATGGACCATAGTCTGGCGGACCCGTTCCGTACCCTACACCGGACAACAAGAGGTTTCTCATTAGTGAAGAAAAAACACTCCCACCATACGGCCTTCTCTCGCATAGACTTCTTTTTGGTGTCTGACCACCTCATGGGAACAGTCAAGGAAGCTGAGATTTTGCCATTGGCGCCGTACCCGGGTCTGGACCACAAACCAATTGAACTGATCATCAGCTTTGACCAACTCATCCAGAAAGGCCGGAGCTTCCACAAATTAAACAACTCCCTCCTACCGAGTCAAGAATTCATGGGGTGTACGGAGGAGAACTGGACGAATCTAAAAGGAAGCTTCATCTCAGGGGGGGATAGGTGGCAATGGTTCCAAAATAGCTACCTGACACTAGCCAAAACAACAACTAAAATATCGAGGAAAATTGCCAATGATAGGAAAATACGAAAGGTGATGCTCGAAACTGCCTTGAAAGTAGCGGAGACTCGGAGAGTAATTTACTCACTCATCCGTCTTCTCAAATGTACGCGGATGTACTACAAAAAACAAGAGGGCTCCAAATCAAAGCCAGAATGACGGATCTTGAGCTCAACGAACAGATGTCCAAATATTCTTTTGCTAGAATAAAGGCATTAACCACTCTAGCTCAATAGAGGGGCTTAAGGAATTAAGGGGCCAACACATTACCGGTACAGACAGCGAAGGGATGCTCGAGGTAGCAAAGGACTTCTATGACGAGCTCTATAGTTCTAAACCCCCTTCAGATACCCCTACAAATATCCGTTCTGCTAGGGCCAAAATGCTACAATACCTGGACAGAACAATATCGGATGATCAAGCCAAAAAATTGGATAAACCGCTATTCCTGGAAGAGTTGGACTTCGCCATTCGAAACATGAACAACAACAAGACTCCGAGCATAGACATGTGAGGATTGAGCCCTCAAGAAGGGGCCTTGCCATGATGTACATGTTCTGGGCTAAGGCCCCAGCAAGCCTCGTGCCCGCCCTAAGTGAAGGCGGGCCAGCAAATCAACAAGAGCCCTTTGTGCAAACATTTCACGAAGTGGGGTCCATACAGTTGCAGCACGCCAGTTGGTTGGAGTGCACCGAGTCTCGGATCTCTGCAAATGCGGAAATCCCAGGGCCCCTGAGTTGGTTACGCCCTGGGCACATAAACGTGAGGCCGACAATGCATGCTGGGTATAGAGGCCGAAAATGCCAATGGGAAACCGGCCCACTATCCGAATCTGGCCGCAGGCCTTGATGAAAGAGGCGCAACTGCATCTCCCAAGCCCCAACTGCATCGGGACTGGGTTGAGGTACTGGGGCCCAAACGCAGGCTGAAGGGAGGCCGCCCACACGCAACACTGGCATATAGGCAAGCAAGGCGATTGGGAAGGGATCTTGGCCATTGCGGGCAATGTCGGCACGCTGCACTAATGCGAGCTGCTGCGCTGCGCTAGGCTGAGGTGCGAGACAGGCAGGCGCTAGGCGGTAGGGCACTGCCTGTACACAAGGCGCTGGCGGCCATAGCCGGGCTGCCTGAGGGCGCAGGGGAGGTGAGGGCGATGGTGGTTCTTAGGAGGTGAAGGGCGCTATGTGGGATAACAAGGGAGAGTGTGGGTGAAGAGAGAGACGTACCTGGTGGAGGTGGGAGGTCGACATTGGTGTTAACATCATCACTCGCTGGTCGTCAAGTTGTCTGATTGCTGTCATACTGTTGTTGTAGTGATAGGCTGTAGAGTAGGTAGGGCGCCTGGCGCCATTCAAGGGAGAGAGCTACATTGGGTTATGCTGTTGGTGTTGCCCTGTTGGGCTTGGACATTGACTCATGATTCTTCTGTATCGTTCTCAAATGGATGGTTACTCGGTTCCATTGTGCTATCTGCTCTTGCTTTGACTACTTGGACTTCAGTGTGATTTTGCAA